ACACGTCCCACCACGAGGAGACCCAGAAGAAGACCCAGGACATGCTGGAGGGACTATGTTTCTCAGCTGGCCTGGGAACACCTTGGAGTTCCCTCAGAGGAGCTGGCCCAAGTGGCTGGGGAGAGGGAAGTCTGGGCTTCCCTGCTTAGGCTGCTACCCCGCGACTGGACCCTGGATAAGTGGAAGAAAATGGATGAATGGATGGATGGATGGAAGGAAATGATGAAAAACCAAAATTCAATGTCTCAGAAAATGATAATATTCCACAGCCAGTTTCTGGTACCTTCTGGTACCTTTGTCAGTGTGGGTAGGAGCCGAGTCCTGCTGGAAAATAAACTCAGCGTCTACATGAAGCTCGTCAACAGAAGGAAGCATGACGTTTCTAAAATGTCCTGGTAGATGCTGCGTGGACTGAGACTTCAGAAAATCCAGTGAACAAGCACCAGCAGAGGACATGGACCCAAACCATCACCGACTGTGAAAACTTCACGCTGGACTTCAACAACGTGGATTCTGGACCTCCAGTCTTCCTCCAGACTCTGGAACCTTGATTTTCAAATGACATGAAAATTTACTTTAATCTGAAAAAATGTCATTGGACCACTGACAGTCCTGTTATTTGTCTCTTCAGCAGGTAAGACACTTCTGATGTCTCTGGTCCAGGAGTGGCTGGACATGAGGAATGAGACATTTGTAGCTCATGTCCAGGAGTTAATCAGCTGATCAGGGTGTGACACCAGGAGTTTACACTGATTTATTTATTTTTTCTCATTTTTTGTAAGCCAGTATCATCAACACTACAAGAAATAAATGATTAAAATAATTCACTGTGTAATGAATCTATGTAATAAATTAGTTTCCCTATGACAAAAAATATTGAACTTTTTCACAATGTTCTAATTTTTTTAGATGCACTTGTAGTAAGAGAGGTTCCTTTCAAAAACTGGGTTGCCACATCAAAATCCAAGATGTCTGCTGCCATAGATGTATCCACCTTATTCCTAGCCCCCATGGTGCCTTGCGTGAATTATGGGCGCGACTTCCGGCACGGACCAGAACTGGCGTTTGTTTATGTTTGAACAGTACGAGCTAATGTAGTTTCTCTGAGCACTGTGGATTTAATTTAAACATGTAGGAACACCACCTGTCAGAGCTCAAACAGGACAATACAATCACACCGCTGCCTGCTGAGGACGAGGGATGGAGGACGACCTGAAGAAGTGGCTGCAGATTACATCTACTAGCATATTTAGGTACTTATTGTAGCATGTTTAGCTACTTCACTGACTTGGTTCTTCTGACGGTGAAGCGATGATCAAACTGAAAATCTCTGAGGTCTATCAGTATTTACACAGTAATAAGGATGCCGGTGTTCTGTTAAAAGAAGTGGGACACAATCATATTTACCTTAAAGCAGACAGAGCCCAGCCAAAGCCTTAACTTGGGTTAACTGCAGAGAAAATCATAAAACCGAAGACGACCAAAATACTGTAAAGCTGTGACCTCCATACACCTGAAATCGTACCTGATGTTCTCGTCACTGTTTTCAATCCTTCTGAGGATCCGGCGTCTCTTCTCCGGTGGTTTATTGTAGTCCAGACACAAAGTAGGATGCAGGTTTTCCTCCGTCGGCCGTTTGTCAACAAAGTGAAACAAGCACATATACAACGTTTTGGCTGGTCTCTTCAAGTTCACATTTTTCAGCCACATTCTTCTTAATTCCTCATCTGTCGGTAGGAGATGGAAACTATAGCTCTTTTCACAGGGACACTCTTTTTGTTTTGAGTCCGTGTTCAAAACGCTGTTGTTGTAGCTACCGATGTAGTTTGGTCTGGTTATTTGTGCAGCCGTGAACACAGCAGGTACATGACCTCAGCACGGCTGTTTTAGTAAACTTAACGGTTGTTAAATAACTGTAAACAAAACAAAAACAGTGTTTTATCTGAAAAACTGAATGTAAATTACTTTCAAATAACCCGCAGTCCATGTTCTGCTACCATGGTTAACCAACGCTAACTGCTACTCCCTGTCTGACAGGAAATTGTACCCATAATTATTTGTACAGTAGAGTCCCCAGGAATAAGTTGGGTATAAATTAACTTTGTGAGCTGAAAAATAAGCAACATGAAAACTTCCGTTTTGGTTTTTGGCTGCATCTAGTTGTAAAAAAGATCTCAATCAAAATTGGTTTGCCGAGTCAAAAGCTAATACGACCACTGTCATAAATGTATGTAAACCTGCCACCCCGATTATTTGAGGAAACTATGCTTTCTAGTTTTTATGTTTCTTTAAAGTATAGTTTCCTCAAATTATTAGGGCGGTCCTTGGGGTGGCCGAACATTAATCTCTGGTTGCCAAGGCTACCATTGGCCACCTCCTGGCTTCACCTTTGTGCTTGGGGGTGGATAAAACTGCTCCCTCCACCTGGATCCATCACTCTGCCTACAACAAGCAACATAATAATAATCTTATCCTATTCTTATACACAGTGTAGCTCCTACCCGCTTGAATATCTTACACCAAAAACTTCAGTTTTACTTGCGTTCCCAGTTCAATTCCAGTCCAGAACTCTTGAAAAGCTCTTCTAGAAAACCACAAACATTCACTGTTCAAATCCCTCAGCAACAGTTTGGTTTCTTTAATGTATGCATTTTTTCAGCTTTTGTTTTTTTTATGTTTTCCATTTGTTAAATGAGAAATATTTTTGGGCTTTGAGGGGAAAAAAAATAGTATTCTGCAAACGCTTTATGTGAAAGTCCACAAACTGGTGAAAGACGTGGAAGGTTTTGGTTCCTGGAGCCGTAATGACAAACTGGGCCAAAGCATCTGGGACCTTCACCCTCAGCGTGACTGAATGAGTGGCAGACTGTCAGGGAGCAGAGGGTTGTTGCTACAAAAATGTTGAAATTTGAGGTTTTTCATTGTTGTGTGAAAAGGAAGTCTCCCAGTGATGCAGGAAACGGAACAGCTACCGTATTCCAAAAATGAAAGATTCCCAGGACCCGCTCCCTGCGTCCCCAGCAGCAGTCAAAACATCTCCAGCTTTAGAAACCAGGGAATCTATATTTTTATCTTTATTCTTTCTTTAAAAATAAAAACATTTTTTTTAAAAACTCAGTGGTTCCAGGAAGTGAAGCAGGAGCTGCAGCTCTTCCTCTGGTCCTGGCTTGGCGTGTTATCCGGACCCTGACCTGATGTTTAGCTTAGCTGTAGCGTCACCAGCCCCTCGGTGTGTGACAGGCGCAGAAGACACACAGCTGGCAGCAGGGCAAAGGGGAGTCTGGAGACGTGAAACAGACCTGCAGTGTGTGCGTCTTCCTTTGTGCTCGGGCCCCATCAATCCGGCATTCACACACACACATCTGCATATTTTCATCCCAGCCTGCAGCCAGTCACGTTTGCTGCTGGTTTTGTTTTAAAGTCCAGTGATGTCCATTCTGATTAGTGTTGGAACAGTGTGTTTTAGAAATGCCTCAGTCTGCCTTGAGGCTTCTGTCTGTCAGAATGGACCCATATTTATTTACAGAACTGCCCCCCCCCCCCCCCCGTCAGCTGTCAAACTCTACTAACAGCTACTTTTAATAGAAAAAGTTAAATGAACCCCTTTACTTTTTCGTCATCTTATTCGAAGTCATCATTCTTAAGATAAAAAAATACTTGTTGCACATTTGTATCACTTTACAACCGTGCATGAGGGGTCTTCTCTCCACTTCTCGTCCACTCTGTCAATAAACCCACCCTGCAGCTCTCAGCACCCAGCTGCCCACTACTGCACACCATTTATTTATTCACTGAGGCAGCCCGACCACTCTGCCTCCCCGAAAGGCTTTTTCCTCCCTCTCTGTTTTCTCTTCATTCCATCTTTTCAAGTCCCCTCCACTGCGTCACGTTCTTTGCAATACAGACGTGGATAAATTTGTTCCTTACAGATCATTAAAAGCATATATGCATGCCTTTTAGTATGTGATAGTCATCCAAAAATGTGAAAATAAATGATTTATTTTTACACAAGTTTGTTGGTACTCCAAAGAGACTATTGGAGTTGTTCAGACTGGTTGTTACTGACACCTTTATTCACTTTGTGTACCCCAAAAGCTTTTGTGATTATACGATAAGCAGACACACACACAGCCACGTGACAAAGAGCGCCGTCAATAAGCAACCGGGCATCAGCAGGTCTGCTGACGTTTCTGTAAAAATGACCACCTGCCGTTTCCCTGAGAGTTTAACTTCAGCTGTAACGCAGCTCAGACTCCTCTGATGGACATTATATCTCACGGTGGACGCAGCAGGTCCAAAAACAATCACAGTAAATATCAAACCGAAGAGCAACTCACACATTCAACGTCCTGTAATCCACTCTGATTGTTAAAATCCCCACAAAACTGACAGCTGTGTGAAAAAGGATTCTGATGAGCTGTTTATTAAAACTTTGAGCTGGAGAAAATAAAGAAGCAGTGTCTTGAGAATATGCTCAAGGATGGCTGTTTAGTTATATTTATTCTTCCAGACAGAATGCATGTTGACAAGCCTCAGAGTTTCTGGAATGGTACCATTTGATTTTCTTCACATTTTGTCAGTGATGGACACAAGTCATCAAAGGGTACTTTCTCCCTTTTTCTTTGCTGCAGTCAATTTTACATCTTATTATGCCCTGGTTAAAAAGCTTTAAATGTTCCAGGAGCCCCACACATCGCTGGTAGAGAAGGGTGAATTGATCGTGTCTGGGGCGAGTTCACGTCCTTCTCGTGTGGGAACAGTTTGTAGTGGGTTCAGCAGCAGCATCAGTGGGTGGAGAACCAGTGAGGCTATCTCACATCTACCACTGGGGCACAGCCTGTTTATTGTTTTACCTTCAGTTCCTGTAGCTAAAATTGTTCCCATCAATGGGGACCGGTCACTCTGCACATTTCTCAGCACCCTGCCAAAGGTTTTTAGGGTTATAACTTTTTGGTTGATCAATTATGATATAACTAATTTATTCTGATTCTCACTTCCAGCTATCCACCAGAAGCTGGAATCTGACGGCACGGAGAAGGTGGCGGGATCCATGACCCAGCGATTGGAAAACATTCTCAACCGTAAGTTTTAATCATTTTGGACCCTCGTTATCGCCCTCCATCGCAAGGTGAAAGCCAATTATAATGATTTTGCCCATATCTGTGTCTGTCAGCTGAACATCTCGTGATCCACTGGACAGACTTTAATAAAACTTGCAGAAAACCATCATTGGGTGTATACAAAACACAAAAATGACTATAATTCAATGAACAATGTTCAGTCAGGTCATCTGGACGGTTTATTTTTTTGTTGAGACGTTTCACCTTTCATCCAAAGGACTTTGTCAGTTCATCAGATTATTGAGCATGAACTTTGATGTTTTGAAATATTTTGGCCATGGCTGCCTCAGAGGAGTCAACGGGGAAGAGGGCGGGTCCCAGAAACCATCTTGTCACCAGAAGACTGGTTGGTCCACTATGTGGGGTTGCTACTTGTGGGACTAAGTTTGTTGTGGCTCCTCAGACTGATGAAATCCTTTTGGATGAAGGATGAAACGTCTCAACCAAAAAATAAACCATCCAGATGACCTGACTGAACATTGCTGGATTTTCTACCTGGATTATTGAGCATGAACTTGTAAATGAGTCCTCGAGGCTCAATGAGACTAACCTGTATAAATTCATTCAACCTTGATTTATACAGGTTAATCCCAATGAGCCTCGGGGACTCATTTACAAGAGAGACCTGATTTTAACAAAGAGCGATGACAACAGTGGACAACAAAGACAATAATAAAGGATGCATACAAATTGAGAATAACAATTGAAAATAAAATGTTATAAAAATAACAATAAACAGCTAGGTTGTAAGGCGATATATAAAAGTAAAAACAGGAACATGTCTGCGTTGGTTTTTTTCCCATGAACTTAGCAGATGTTTGAAGCCACTTAGAGAGGTCAAGGTCGAGAGCTTCAGATCTTTTTGCAAGATATTTCAGGAAACAGGAGCAGTTCAGTCTGCACTGAGGGGACACTGCATGTAATTATGTCCTGGGAGCGCACGCTGTAGCTGCACTCACACAGTGACATCTAGGAGGAGATGTATGAAGGCAGCAGACCAAAAAGTGATTTAAAGATGAAAATGTACCAGTGAGAGTCTGTGTGAAGTTACTGATGTCCAGTTAACCAGTGAATACAGGGTGCAGTTATGGGTATGATAGTTGCAGCCAGTTATGAATCTTAGTGCACCATGATAGACAGCATCCAACAACTGCAGGGTGCTTGTAGGAGAGTTCATGTAAATAATGTCACCATAATCAATGGAGGGAAGGAAAGTCGCAGTCACAAGGTGTTTTCTAGCATTCAGAGTTAAACAGGATATATTTCTGAAAAATAAACCCAGTTTTACTTTGTTTCTTTTCCAAGTTTTCAACATGGGGCTTAAAAGAGAGAAGCGAGTCGACCAAGATACCCACATATTTGTAGGAATCGACAAACTCAATAGGGTCACCATTTGAGGATAAAATCAAAGGAAGAACTGCTGGGACCGACTTTCTGTTTGAAAAAAGCATCCCTTTGGTTTTATCTGCATTTAGGACAAATGTGAAACTGAGCAAATCTGACTGGATGATGTCGAAAGCGGTTTGCAAAAGCTGGAAAACCATAGCAACCGTTTTAGCTCGACAATAAACAACTGCATCATCAGCATAGAAATGTTAGGATGCACCAGGGATGCTCTGACCTACATTACCTCTGTAGATTGTAATGAGGGTGGGTCCTAAAACTGAGCCTTGTGGTACACCATTGTTGACCGTTAAATAACTGGAGGAAGTACCATTATGTTGAACGCATTGCATTCTGTCTGAGAGTTAGTTAGTGAACCATCCAATGGTGTGAGCTGAGAAACTAATTTCTGAGAGCTTATGACATAAGATGTTATGGTCCACAGTGTCAGGCTTTAGACAGGTCTAAGAAAAGTGCAGCACAATAATCCGTAGCATCCAGTGATTCAACAACGTCATTAAAAACCTTCAACGAAGCAGTCATTGTGTTGTTGTTTTCTGAAACCAGATTGATGGAGAGATAAGATGGTAAATGAGTCCAAATACTTTTTGATAAATAAAGGTTGAATTGAATGAACTTTGGTATAACTCAATCAAGTTTGCAGATATGGAGCAAAATTTTGGTGTAGTTGTATCTGAGTCTTTCACTACACATACTTTTAGCATGAGGTCTTATAATAAATGTCAAAACTGTGAATGTTAAACATGATGAAAACGTATATTACATGTTGTGTATTGTCTTTGTTCAGTGAGTGTGTGTGTTCTTTCAGTTCTGTTGGTCCTAGATCCCCCTGCAGAACCTGTGTCCCCTCTCTGTATGTTATACATGATAATGAGGCTCTGCTAATGGAGGGCCAATAAGCCGGCTCTTTTCCTGAAGTGTAGAGTAAATAAACCTCTTAGCCGGACGTATCTTTCTTCCCTACCAGTCCGGGCTTAAAGGCCCGTTGGCCCAGTGGGCCTCAGCCTTCGCTCATCCCCCAAACCCGATGAATCAAACACACGGCACCAGTCAGCCAATCACAGAGCCGCCTTGTGAAATGTCAGCTCCATGAGAAGGCCGATTGGCGAGAGAAAAGTTATAAATATTCCTATGTTCTTTCTCTTTTTTGCTGTTTTTCCTTCAGGGATTTAGTGGTGGGGGTGGGGGCGGGGGGTTGTTTTGATTTAAAGAACTTTTTCTTTTTTCTATCTGACGGGATAACCAAGGCCACCCACGAAGCTTTGGAGCCACACAGGTCCCTCCAAGAAGCCTAAGAGACAATTGTCATTTTCTCCATCACAGCTTAGTTCCCGCTCTTCTTGTTTTTGTGTCAAATAACACCCCGAGAAAGAGGAAAACCAGAGACCGGCAATAAGAAGGAAATGTGGTATCCACATTTATTTATACAGGATCCCAGTTTCTCATTTTCTCCCACCTCGCTCCCTCTCTAACTTTCAGGCGCGAGCGATACCGCAGATACTCTCTTCCAGGAGGTCTTGGGACGGAAAGACAAGGCTGACTCCACACGCAATGCTCTCAACGTCCTGCAGCGTTTCAAGTTTCTCTTCAACCTGCCACTCAACATCGAACGCAATATCCAGAAGGTACTTTGCACAAAGACGAGTGCAGAAAATAACCCGTGCCAAATGCAGAATTAAATCCACCTGCTCTTCAGCTCCAGTTTGTCGATGGTTTGAGTTCGTACATGTGCACGTGGGACTTTTATTGATATTGATTAAAAAAATTAATTATGGTTTACACGTGAAAACTTTTCGAGCAGACAGTTTCAAGCTGCTTTTCTGGGATATTTTTGGTTTCTTGGTGTCTTGAAGACTAAAATGCATCATTATGAGCAGCCGCCGTAAGGCAAAGATGGATGATAATGTTTTTGCTCATTTCTATGTGCGTTTGTGTATTAGCACAATATTTCATGGACCATTTGATAGATTACAATGAAACTTTCAGACAGTAATCATGCATGTTCATCTCCAACCTAAAAACACAAAATGGCTGTAACTCAATCAATTTTACAGATACTGAGGTAGAATTTGGTGTGGTAGTTGCTGTGGCTGATCCCCAACACATAATCTGAGCTCTGATGTATGTTCAAAATCTTGGTAAAACATTAGCTTTAAACCTGTTTGTTAGCAAAATATTTCATGAACTCGTTAATAAAATATTGTGAAACTCGAAAATTAATCATCTACATCTCAATAACATTTGGTGGCAAACCAATAAAAGATGGCCGCCGCGGCTAATCGACCTTAGCCAACACTAAAACGACTACAGCTCAGTCAGTTTTACATGCGATGAGCTAATTTTGGTGTGGTGGTAGCCGAGAGTCATCCGCGACAACTACTTTGAGCGCCGTCACGTCCTGCGAGGTCTCACATGATTGTGCAGAACGTCATACTGGAACTCTGTTCTTTCTCAGCACAAGACGATTTTTAGTTTCAAATCTGGCATGAAAGATGGCGGGCGATATGCAGTCCTTCAAGAAGTTCTGGGCTTGAACCCGCATCCTCAGGATTACGAGACCGCGGCACTGACCACTGAGCTACCGAAGACCCACCTGTCAAAATAACAAGACGTATACAAATTCCAAAAAGAAAAATTGAATTTTACTTGTTGCCGAAACTTCTACTATCAACAGTTTTGTTTTTATTTAATTTAATCTCTATTACTTTATGGGGCAGCACGGTGGATCAGTTGGTAAAGAAGGTCGCCAATTCAAATCCCGGCCTTTCTAGGTGGAATTTGCATGTTCTCTCCGTGCATGCGTGGGTTTTCTCCGGGTACTCCGGTTTCATCCTACAGACCAAAAATATGCACGTTAGACTGACTGGTAACTTTAAAGGCTCCCACAGACTCGAGCGTACGTTGAGCCGCGCGGACACTGCGTGCACTGTCAGCAGACGGTTGAGACTTCATACGCGACTGTACACCCTGATGGGCTGCAGCACAGCTTCGCAGGCAAGGGGCGTTACCTTCAGGACAAACTGAGGTCACCGATTGGTCATTTGCTGACACGCCTACTGGATTGATTGACAGGTCGCAAAACCAAAAAAAAAAGAGTTGTCAGCCCCAGCTGCAGTGGTGTTCTGTGTTTATATGTTGTTTATAAAAAGTTCTAAATAATAAATAAAATAAAATAACAGGGAGCTCCGGCCCTGCAGCCCACACATCAGACCGGCCCACTGGGAAATCTCCAGACCCTCCTGCAGCCACGCTGGACCAGATTTTAATTTGCTCTTGACAAATTCCTTCAGCTCTCAAAATTTCAGTCATGGCGTCAACAGATGAGGAGGAACACATCGCTTGCCTCTTGGACAAAAACAAAATAAAAAGAAAAGGCCATTAAACCAGACCAGAGATGAAGAAGGGGAATTTAACACGTTGGTGTCGCGTACAAAACAGTCCGTCGCCGGGCCGTTTATTGTGCAACACCGAGTATGTGTATGCGGTCGTAAAAATTGATCTTTGCACAGTCATGGCTTGCGGGCGTCCGCTTCGAGTCTAATCCGGTACGTGCGGACCTCTGTGGACTAAGTTACACCCGAGTCTGTGGAAGCCTTAAGTTGTCCCTAGGTGCAAGAAAGAGAATGAATGAATGGTTGTTTCTCATTTGTCTCTGTGTCCCTGCGATGGACTGGAGACCAGTCCAGGGTGCACAGTGACTGCTGGCACCAGTGACCCCCACGACCCAATAAGGAAGAAGCTTGTAAAAGAGAATGGATGGATGGATGGATGGATGGATGCTTTACACTGTCTTCTTTATGACCCTGGGTTGAGTGAGAAGCAGCTGCTTGTTTTTGTTTGGCGTTCACATTTCGTTGTGATGTCAGACACTCCAGATGAAAAGACCACAAACGTTCGTTTCCAGGAGGTCAGAATCAGCGTTACAGCAAATGTTTTGTTGTGGACTTCATCTCTGCAGACCTTTTATGTGGCTCAAACTGATTGAACTTACTGACGATAAGGGGAACTCCAAAATGAAAGTCAGGCTCTTGGTTTTAGCTTTTTTTTTTTTTCAAATTTGCACCTAAAAGTGCGCATCATATTTTTTTGCTTGAATTAGTTTTATTTACACATTTTTTAGTCTCATTTTCTTCATTTGTTTCTGTGTTTTAGTTTTTTAAATATCTCTTAAAAGTTTTCTGACATATTCTCACTCATGCTGATCTTCCTTTGACACTTCAGCGTGTTGGAACAAGACGCTAAACTATAATTTTTTTTAATTTTTGACAAAGTTTCAGCTGTTTTTCATAATCGCTTTAGCTCCATCTATCCTCAATTTTTATTGTATATTTGTTTTGAGGTGCAGCTTGGATGACTTTAAACCAGAGGGTGGAGTTAAAGGGGTTTAAATACACACTGGGTATCATGATTGATGAGTTATTAAAAAAACTCGTTTCTTCGCAGGGAGATTACGATGTGGTGATCAATGACTACGAGAAAGCCAAATCTCTGTTTGGCAACACGGAAGTGATTGTTTTCAAAAAAGGTACAGCTATTTGCACGTTTGACGTTTTTTACTTGAATACACAAAACGAGGTGAATTATTACTAAATGATTACTTGAACATTGGTTTCACTCTTTCAGTGTACGCTGAGGTGGAGACGAGAGTCGAAGCTCTGAGGAGGCTCCTGCTGGAGAAGCTGCTGCAGACGCCGTCGACGCTTCACGACCAGAAAAGATACATCAGGTTTCTTCGTTCCCTCAGAGTCTGGCCTTTATGCTTCATGCGTCTTATTCAACCCCCAGTCACGACAAATCTTTTCGGCTTTGCTTGCTTTTTGGTTTCTTTTATGTCTGTTTATATCTTTGTTTACCAAAACTTCGCCCTCCACCTACAATTTTTCTTTTCTGCCTCTCGCTTTCCTCACTTCACGAATCGACTCATCTTTCTCTCATGTGGCTCTTCTGTTTTTCAGTTCTGCTATTTTCTCTGCCCTCCTCGCGCTTTTCTTTCCCTCCTTTCTTCCCCTCCTGTACCCATCTGTTGTTCATACCTGCGGTCTCTGCCGATTTATTATTGTTAGGACCAACATGTCAGGATCACAGAGAGCAGCTCTCCACCACACGGTGACATCTTTCATCCCGGCGCATTAGCCCCGCACAGCTCCCAACGCCCACTCACTGTTTCCCAACATTTCTGCTGGCGATTCGTCAGCCTTATTTTCAGTCGCCGCCTTTGTTATTATTAAAATTGTATTAATATTGTCACAAAATTGCCTTTTCCAATGATCGTTAACTCATCAGAAAGCAAAAAGTGCAGTTTGCTTTGGAGGTAAAATGAATTTACTTTTAGTAAAACAAAGAAATGAAAAGTGCGTACTTCCATTTCTCTTTTGTCAGCACTGTTTTGATTTTTTTGACAAACTATATTTTCATAGTGCTACACATTATATTTAATTGGCACCAATTGCATATAATTACCGGTACTGCCAATAGAAAACAAAATAACTATAATATATAAAATGAACTAAAAACAATTATAACTATATTTTATGAAGGCCTATTGTTTATTTGTAAAGCAAACCATTTTAATGCATACTGCGTTTGTGAGGGCTTTATTGTACAAAATATATTTAATATTACAAGATAAAAAATCTCTTTCGTGGCATTGGAGTTGGTTTTTGTGACTTTTGTCAACATGTAAATGGATTTTATACAAATATTTAAAATAAAAGTAGCTGATTTTACTTCACTTTTGCAGCCACTAGTGATGACAGCCTGTTTTTAAGTTTAAACCTTTGTATTTTCAAAGGTTCGTTTTAGTTTTAATGCCATGTTTTGTTTGTTACTTTACACTGCTTTGCTTTAAATGAATTTGTTGCTTAACTTTACATTGTTTTACGTTTCCTAATGTTACTTTTTGTTAGCTTACTTTATATTACTTTACATTTCTTGACTTAAATTGCTTTACATTACATTCCTTTATAATACAGACTACTGGTACATGAGATTAACTATTTAAATTGGTTATAAACTTATTTTACTGGTGCTCATTTTAATTTTGTGCACTTTGTAAAATACTTGGATAATTAAAAAAACCTGCATGTAGTTCTTCACAGATTAAAGAATCGTTTAATGAACCTGAAAATAATCCCAATCTTCCAAATGAGCAGGTTTTTATACCTTTTTAATAGACTACAGTTTATTTTGTTAGTTTATGGATCATGTTTTGTCTTTGCTCCTTTTTGAAGGGATAACTACATTTAACAGTTGATGTATAGTTAGAGAAATTATGACTTTTTTTTTTTTTCAAACAAACCCGATCTCCAGAAGAATGCGTTCCTGTTTCTTCTTTGCCAAGCGTTTATTTGTCATATTCATGTCTTGGGTAGGTACCTGTCGGACCTGCATGCCCCAGGTGACCCGGCGTGGCAGTGTATCGACGCTCAGCACAAGTGGATCCTGCAGCTGATGCAGAACTGCAGAAACGACTTCATCAGCGGCCAAAGAGGTGAGCGAAAAGCTCCTCTTTAGCATTTCTAATTGCACAGTGGGCTCACAGTCATGTGAAGTATCAGAGGGAAGAGAAATCCAGCTGCCGCTCCGTCACTCCGGCCCCCTGCCCACATTCCCTGCTCCTTCACCGCCCTCCCAGGCCTGTTCTGTTCCAGGCCTGCGTGTTTATTTTTTCATGAACGTATGAATAAGATGAAAGCGAGGGAGCGTTGGCTTTGGATTTGGGTTTCAGAGCCTGACATGTTACCACACACACATGCACACACACACGCACAGCTACTCGGATGGATTGGAACAATTAACCCCAATTAAGCTGTTCCTGTTAAATCAGCCAGCAGAAAAATGTGGATGTGAAACCGTCCACTCAGGAAGATTCTCCAACCACATTTTAGACGCATACAAGCAGGAAAACACGGGGAGTGAGAGGGCCGCTTCACTCTGAGCAGCTGGAACATAAACACACCGAATGCTAAGGCTAACAGAGAGGGGCTCCAGGGCTCCGGCAATCTGGGGGGGCTGGTTTCATTTTAGACTCTTTATGTTAGACGCCACCATACACCAATTTGACTTTTGAATTTATCTATAAACTTTAACTTTAAAGCATGAAAATTATCATAAATTATGACCTTTAACATCCCTGATGTTGTATTTATTAGATCTTTGCAGCCAAAGTACATTAGCTAAAAGCTTTAAAAAAGCAAAAGGGTAGCTAAACGATAAATGTAGCAAAGGTTGGCTTAAAACAAAACCTAGTACAGTAGTCCCTCGTTTATCACAGGGGATCCGTACCCTGAAGCCCTGTGATAAGTGAAAAACTGAGAAGTAGGAATAGTAGTACAAGCAGTAGTTTATCAAGTAATTTTATTATTTATAAACTTGTTTATTATTATATTACTTTATTAACTTATTAGTAGTTTATTTTTATTACATTAAATATTAGGCGTTTTAAAGTCTTGCTCTATTCTAAACAATGTTTCTAAACTCTAAACGCTCTGAAAGTGCACAGAATGTCATGATTTCAGCTTCCTGCCTCTGCTGCTCTTTGCCATCTGCAAGTGCTCTTGGCCACGCCCACTTCTCCACTCTGCACGGTGAACAGCTGATCAGCTGCAGCAGGAAGTTTATTCTGCAGTAAGGGCTGCAAAACGGTGCAGCAAGTGCTAAATAATTTAAAATAAATTGTTTTTTCAATAAAAATTCAATGCAAATCGTGCGGCTCATCCATCAATCAGCCAGTTGTGTGTCACGTCCAATCTTATGTTGAAAAACCGCGATAGAGCGAGTCTTCGATAAACGAGCTGTGAAATAGAGAGGGACTATTGTAAAACACTAGCTGAAAGTAGTAAAATGCTAAATTTCATGAAGTCGTTATGAAATTTGTATTATTTACATCCGGTTTGCAAAAATAATTCAACTGATTAGCTTTAAAGAATTTGATTTAGGATGAATCGTGTCATTCACCCGTTAAGAGTTTTAAATAAATTATGTTTTTATAAGCATTTCAATCATACAGAGCTAAGAAAATAAACAATTGTTTTAGGACCAAATGCACTAAACTCATAACAAAAACTGCAGTTTTATTAATTCAGATTTTAAAAATATATATATTTTAACAACAATCTCATTTAAAACAAATAAGTAAATAAATAAGTTGTCGTGAGGTGACCTTCATATGTAAATGTGGCCTGTTTACCAACAGTTCCTTAGAGCCCAGTGATGTTTGGATGTGAGTAAATCATCCAGTTTATAATAAACTGAGTCATCGATGCCCCCATGGGTGCAAAAACCTCCAAATATCACCTTTAGATGTGAAACACATGACGTCTTTCTTCATTCAGGTGGTTTCAGACGTCATAAACGCGACGCAAACACCATCCATTCATACAGAAAGGTGACAACAGTCCTTTTATTGTTTGTTTAATTTATTTGCTTGCACTTTCACACATCTGCTGTCAGCCTCCACCTCCTCCACCCACAGATCCAAACACCTTCACCACCTTCTCCCTGTGGTCCGAGTGAGAAACCTTCACCTCCTGAACATCCCTCCACTCGAAACCACATCCACGCTCCTCCTCCCCCTGACTCTGTTGCCATCATCTTACCTCCACCCTCCCCTCTGAGCACGACTTCCTCTTCCTCCTCCTCCCTCACTTTCAGAGTCTCGTGGCTGTGATGGGTCAGCCGTGTCTGTGTTAACTGGAATCGCTCTGTGAGCTTCTCAGCCAGGAATATCGGACCACACGGCCGTCCCGGTCCGCTTGTTCCTCCGTTAATGACTCGGTGAATTGTCCTAAATGTGAAATAGAGCCATCCGTCTTTGTTGGAGCGTAAATCTGAAGGCTGAGAGGTTTTTTTTTGTTGTTGTAAAGAAGCGTGGCGAGGAGAGTTGCTTCCGTATGTCTAAACAGTCCCAGCATACCTCCGTTTTTACAGTCGGCCTGAATTCATTTTAAACTGCAGGGCTCGGCCAATGTCAACACGATTAGCAGGACGCGTTTCTTTTTTTTTTTTTTTTACTGGTTTGCAAGTGAACTTTAGAGGAAACGCTTTTAAAGTTGGAACACACATTTGTATATTTTTGTCTTTGTTGATATAACTTCAGGAAAAACACAAATATATTTATTATTTTTAAACAAATAATTCATTAAAGATGTCAGCATTTAGATTTTTTTTTCTCATACTCAATGAAAAATACAACAAAAATCCCAAGGAAAACATTAAAATAATCATTTGAATATACTGAAAGTCACCTCTCAACTCAGACTTTATTTATAAAGCACATTTAAAAGAACGACGCTGTAAAGCACAACGCAAGAATAAATATAAGGAAATAAAAGAAATACTAACAATGAGTCCAACAACTGGAATTAAAGCCATAAAGGAAATATTTCTTTAAAGAACCACAACAACATCAAAAGTCTTAGTAAATCTAATGTAAATTATACTAAATTTTATTTCTGTAACTCATATTTGCTTCAACGTTTTGCCCTCGGCCGTGGTTACACAACAAACACTCAGTATAAAATACGACGGCCAGTACTTTGAAGCCTAAAGCAACCTGTTGTCTTTAAGTTGTAGGAAGGTTAATCAGACGTGAGAACAAAAATCTGCAGTAAAGCGAACTCTCTAAAACAACAGGGAAGACGTTTTACTGCTGTGAAGCATCCCCTGTTCTTTTAGCAAACGATCCAGGAACCGAGGAGAGCAGCTGCTGGAGTTCTCGGAGAAGAAGGTTGTCCCATTCTGGTTTGATGGAGGCCCGTTCAACAGTCCTGGCTCTTCTTCGCTGGATTTTTTTCGTGTCGTGACGCGTCAAATGTTTTCAGTTGGTAAGAGGTCTGGACTTCAGCACCCCGGACTATTCTACAAAACCATGTTGGTGTGAATGCAGTATTTGGTTTGGCATCGTCTTGCTGAAATATGCAAGGCCTTCCCTGAAAATAACATCCTCTGGATGGGATCTTATGTCACCTGGACAAAACCACAGCTTCACAGCATTAAACGTGGCCAAGTCCCAACCTTTTTAAAATGTGCTGCGTCCATAAAATTCATAAACACTCTTTTTTAATTTTTTTTAATCGGTACAGTTTCTTAAATTTGTCAATCATTGCAATCCGTGTTTTTTTTATTTTTTTATTTACATTTAAAACTTTTTCGTTAATGGGGTTGCACATTCAGACATGGAGCAGATCGTGTGTTTCTGGAGGGCGACTTTAGCTTCAGACCACTGAGGAGGTGGAGCACCAAGTCGTTTTGTGTTCACTCAGATTTGTGCTCGTTTGTTGTTGATTCAAGTCTTGAACCAACAGCAGCTCTCATGAAGACATGAAAACATGTCATACGTGTGCATGTGTGTGCGTGTGAGAGAAACCTTCGTCTGTTTACAGATAGTCTGACTCAGTTGAGAATTTCCTTACATTTTCTGCTGTGTTGTGAGCGCGACCATCTCAACCACATTTTCTCCTCTGCTGGGGGATTTCTCAACACGTGCTCACACACTGCATTCAGCCTGTGACGCACTCTTCTGAGTGTGTGTGTGTGTGTGTGTCAGACACATGTTTTGGAAATGTGGCTGTCAGTCTCCCTTCGGGCAGACGAACTCCATGTAGGCGTTTTGCAGCATTGCACCAGCTCTTTAGGTTTTATTTTCAGTGTTGCTGTTTTGCTCATCTCCTTCGTCCGCTGCAGTTTAACTTTTATTCTTGTTAACTTTCACCCCACTGCCGTTACCCCCAACTTCTCTTCCAGATTAATTACATTAAAATCAAGTAACTTGCACAGATGTTTCAGCTTCAGCGCAGCTCCCTGGTGCCACCTCGTGGAGTTGCGATGTAACTGCACGGCTAAAGTAAATCTGTTTCACCCCTGCAGTCTCAAAAGTTCAGTTTCCCTCATCTCGACTGTGGATCGGCTCAAATGGATCAGAACACAAACTAGTGAAACTGGCATTTCTATGAAAATCCAGTGTGAAACCTGAGAGCTGAATGACTTTATTTAAATGAGCTAAAACTGAGTAAGAAGCCAAACACAGCTAAAAGCCAAAAGTAAAAAAAACAAAAAGTGGCAATATTGTAGCTAAACATAAAAAAATCAAGATGCCTTATAAAACTGAAATTAGCTAAATACTAGATAAAAAAAATTAATCTGGCAAACAATAGCTAAATGTATCAAAATATTAGCCAAAAGTAGCACAACACTGGCGAAAAGTCAAAAGTAACAAAAATGTTTAAAGATGCAAAAATCTTAGATAGAAGCTAAAAATACCAAAAGGTTATCTAAAAGCTAAAACTACCAAAATGCTAACTAAAAGCTGAAAGTTGCAAAACACTGGCTAAAAACCAAAAATATCAAAAGACTAGCTAAAAACAGCAAAACAATAACAAAAAAAAGGCACAAAATAACTTTGGTATAAGCTAAACGTAACAAAGACTAGCTTAAAGCTAAACATATCAAAATGCTAACTAAAAACTAAAAGTAGCAGAAGAATATCTAAAAGTTACAAGCTAGATAAAAGCTATAAAGAAACAACAGGCTAGAACAGACCTGGGCGTTGTACGGCCCCAGGGCCACATGCGGCCCTTTGGTTGACTCTGACCGGCCCCCGTAAGGGGAATTACAAAATACATATGTAAACAAATGAAGTTAACCAAATCCAGATATAGATCCTCTCTCACTGATGTCAGCTTTGCTTCACATCTCCACCTCAGACCTTGAACCTGACTTTAACATTTCTGTTAAAGCCCAACAGAGACTAGACTTCTCTCACTAAACAAGAAAAAAGAACAGAAAAACACCAAATGAGATGTTTAGACAACAAATGTAGGCACGTAAAGTTTTTCAGTTAGCCTTTATTTATACAGGTAGTCTCATTGAGCCATGAGAACTCATTTTCAAGAGAGACCTGTTTAGGGAGCACATGGTGGGGGTTAAGGGCCTTGCTCATGGGCCCAGAGTGGGGCGAATGAGGGTGGGGGCAAGTGTAGGTGTTTTACCTACCCCACCCACAATTTTGATGTTGTCGGGGCTGGGGCGTGAACCAGCGATCTTCGGATCACAGGCCCACCTCTCTAACCTCTGCACCACCACTCCCCAACAAAAAAGAACCGGGACTCGAAGTCACAGTTCAGTGACGATCACTATTATATGATGTTTCATAATATTTGGAGTACAAGACAATATTGTGATATATTTACAAAGCTAAGAACTTTTTCCAGCAGTATATAAAACTCAAAATGAGTTTTGGGGTGAATGTGACTGAAAATGATCACTAATATAACGTCACAAATGGTAAAAATGTTAACAGTTTACCATTGTACTGGGAAATTTAATTGAATAAATGACATTTTTTGTAAGGAAACCTCGCTTTTTCGTTGCTTAATCATAACAAATACTCTTACCAGCTTGTTAAAACAGTGCTATGTACTGCTTTTAATAATGAAATACTAATATTATGCAGTATTGAGTTAAGTTGACATCAGGTCTCTCTTGTAAATGAGTCCTCGAGGCTCAATGGGATTTACCTGTAGAAATAAAGGTTGAATGAAAAAGTCATTTGTGCCAGCCCTCCACAATATTTGTTGTTTCTCATGTGACCCCATGGAAAAAATAATTGCCCACCCCTGGGCTAGAAGGTAAACATAACAAAATGGTAGATTAAAACTAAAGTAGCAACAGAAGACAAAAAAACAAGACTGTAAATGAAGAAGCTTTCAAAGAAAACAATTTAAGAAATTGTGGAGATCCAAATCTACTCTTTGGAGGGCATTTTTTGCAAATAGACTTTAAAATTTAAAATTATAAAAGTTGATAAAGTTATAGTAGCCGTCTCCTGTATGAGATTAATGCTGACTCAGCCGTCTCCTGTAT